GCGGAATAAAGTGGTCGGAGCTCTAGACACCTTGTGCAAGAGGATAACGCAGTGCGAGATCACATCGGCAGGTATGATAATTAATAGGGAACAGTGGTAAACCATTCCCCGAAGGGGAAGAGCGTTTTGGGAAGAGGACAGACATCGCTAGACCACATGTCGCACAGGGGGCTGGTGGGATGTTGATGAAGGTATTCGCCCATTTCAGAAGGTGGGATGTATGGACGACTGTATGTTTGGATTGGTGTAGGAACGGACGGGTGTATAGATGTGTGCACGTACGTTTGCAGGACACAGCAGACACGCGCCAGAACCTGAGCGCGCGCGAAGCGCGCGACGACCCCTCCAGCCTCAAGAGAGCCTAAGGCTTCAAGCACTGCCAAACCCTGGCCCTAAGCCTGAGGCTCCCTAAGTGAATCAGGGTGCATCCAGGGTTCCCCCCGGGCCGCTCAAAACAGCTCCATGGGGCACGAATTAGAAAACCAGAGCGGACCAATAGAGCAGAGGCGCAGTTCGAGCGCTTGCAAGGTGGCTCAAGACGATCTAAACAGCCCCCCTGACTGGCCCAGGAGTCTCGGAGCACAACGTCAGCGATGTTTGTATTTATTTTTGTATGAGTTTCGCATTTTTGTTTGTCCGCTCCTCTGGGCGCCCACGACGGGCCAAGAGGCCCCCAAGCTCGCCCCCAGACGGCCGAACAGAATCCTAATAGGGCCCACCCAGGGCCCACGCTGGCCCAAGAGGGGCCCAAGGCGGCTCAAAATGGTCCCACGAGGGCCCCAGAGCGGCTCAAGACGGCCCAAGAGTGCTCCCAGACTGGCGCAAGTCGTCTCAAAAGATCCAAGAGTACCCCAGGACGCCCCAAGATGGGCTCAGCGATTTCCATTCATCCGCATTCATGAGCTGGTCGGTCGTGTCTTCCCTCCATCCATGAGCTGGTCGGTCGCGTTTGCATTCTCAGCGCGCGTTTGGCGCAGCATGCGGTTGGCGCGCATTTGGCGCGTCGACTGCTTCGCCGTCTGGTAACTGACTTGCTCCCTGGTTGCCAGACAGTGCGGCAAAATGTGGGCTATGTTGCGCCATGTGGAATACATCATTGGACTGCTGTTGACCATATTGAACCCGTCCCTGGGAGCATCGTGGACGCTGCAGCCCCTCGCGAGGGGGTCCTATGACCACAGGGGGACAGGGATGATGAAGAAGAGATTGTTTGGACGAGGCGGCACCCTAAACTACCCTTGCCCAGAGTGCTGGTGGGATTCGTCGTCGTCGTGCTTGTCACGTTGGTTGTGATTTCATGTATCCTGTTGTCAAGTTGTTGTCAATTGCGCGCCCATTTTGCTGCTGCCCGTCACAGCTAACACACGTGCATTTGTTTGGAAAAGGAGTTTATGGTACCATTGCATGGGGGACATCTACGGGCGTGTTGAGGCGGGTGCTTCAAACGAGACGTGATCTGTCCATTCGACAAGATGCGGGCCTCGGGGACTGTAAAACCATCCACTTGCCCCATCCCCACCGGGCCCAGCCCTTACCCCGAACATGGTCTTTCCTTTTCCACACCCCCGTTCTTTTTTGCGAGGATGGTAAAGAGGAGGAGGGAGGAGGAGGAGGAGGGGGAGGTATCTCCCCAACTTGGATTCCTCAGTGTTCTTGGGGGACCCTTTGGGTTCTTGAGGCCGACATGGGAAGGTTGACCTGGCGAGACTTCCTTGGCCCTGCCACACACTCGTACCCTGGGCGGGCTGACTTGTTGAGAACCCCATTGACCTGCCACACGTTCGTGACCTTGGAAAATTGAAACTTTGAGAATCCTATGGCCCTGCCACTCGCTCGTGACCTGAAAGGAATGACATGGTGAGACTCCGATACCCCTCCTCCTCCTCCTCCTCCTCCTCCTCCTCCTCCTCCTCCTCCTGATCCTCCTCCTGATCCTCTGCCTCCCTTTCTCTCGCCTCCTGCTGTGGGATAGCTAGTCGCGTATCGATGTTTCGACGTGTGGGCGCGGGAATTTGCAGTCCAACGCTTGTTCTTTCGAGGGCGTTCACGTCGTTGTCCTCGTCGCCGTCTAGAGGCCCCCTAGAGGCCCCACGAGGCCCCAATGAGGCCCAAAAAGGCTCCCCACGAGGAACTCAGGAGGCGAACCAAGTAGGTTGTTTTTGAGGGTTTGTTCGATAGTTTTTGCAGGTGGCTCGTGTTCTCTCTGTTTCGCGCTTCCGACGGTCCAAGACAGCCCACGAGGCCCCAGATATCAGCTCAAGACTGCCCACGGAGCACCCAAAGAGGGCGCCACGACGGCGCAATAGAGTTCCAAGACGGCCCAAGAGTGCCCCAAGACGGCCCAAGAGGCGCCCAAGATCGCTCAAGAGGGTCCTAAGACGGCCCCATGAGGGGCCCAAGAGGGGGAACACGAACCGATAATTCGAGCCTTCCGCCCCAAGATGCCCCCAGGAGGCCCCAAGAGGCCCCCAACAGAGCCCAAGAGGCACCCTAGAGGCCCGCTAGAGGCCCCACGAGGCCCCAAAGAGGCCCAAAACGACGCCCCAAGAGCACCTCAAACGGCCCCCAGGAGGCTTCCCAAACTGCCTTCAAGAGGTCCCTGGGAAGCCTGCCACGAATTCCAAACGAACTTCCAAGAAGCCTCTAACCCACATTCAGGCACGGCGTCGGGATGGACCGAAGGCCACTAGATGGTCCAAGACGCCCAAGACGGCCTCCAGACGGATCAAGAGGCCCCCAAAATACCCGAGAGGCTTCCGAAAGGTCTCCCAGCAGAGCTCTAATAGGCCAACCAATCAAACATGTATTTTCAATAGGTTGTTGATTGCATTTCCGCCTGTTCCGCTTCCCGACGCTGCAGAAAGCCCCAAGAGTCTCAGAGGATCGCCCCAAGACGGCCCAATAGGCTTCAAAAGCGCCCCAAGACGGCCCAATAGGCTTCAAAAGCGCCGAAGGGACATCCAAGACGTCTCGAGAGGGCCCCAACCGCGGCCCAGGATCCGGAATGTGAACCGAGATCTCGAGATCTTCGCCCCAGGAGACCCCCAGGAGGCTTCAAGAGGTCCCCAAGAAACCCCAAAGAGGCCCAAAAGAGCCCCGAGAGAGGCCCCGAGGACAAAACGGGAATTCCAACAGTTCTTTTTAAAATTCGCCTGGCAGCTTCGCTACGCTTGCAAAAAACTATATAGGAAATATCATATTTCCTCCTCCTCCTCCTCCGGTTCCTCCTCCTCTCTGCAGCTTCCTCCACCCTCTCCAACACCTCATCATCTTTCTTCTTCTCCCCCAGGAAACCCCTTCACCTCCCCTTCTCCTCCTCTTCCTCTGGCTACGTCCAGCCGCGGCGAATGAAAGAGCCCCCGAAGTACCTTTTGGGCCTGTCTTAAGACGAAGTGGGTGGACCGCAGGAAGTCGTGGAAGCCATTGGGCCGTCTTCGTGGTTCTTGGAAGCCCCTGAAAAGAAGTGTCATAGAATAGAGATCCCCAGGAGTTCGACCATCCAGCCTAGCTAGAACTTGTGGTTTTCCCGGGGGCTGGTGCTGGTAACCAGGCGGAGTGAGGATAGGGATATATCGTGCCAGAGCGTTCCGGAACGTTTTCAGAGCGTTCCAGAACGCTCTAAGAAGGCCACGAATTCTTAGAGAAGGCCGCGGCGCCCGATGCATCTTTCAGAGCCATCGGATTACAGAGATTTCCGATTCATCCCTATCCGACTTTGTTCATGTCTTGGCTGAGTTTTATGGGAAGGCTTCGGGATGAGCACAGACAGCCCCCCCCCAGGCAGTCGTGGCTGGCCTCAAGAGGCCCCCCGAGTAGCCCGGGGCGGTATCGAGACCCTGGCGCCGCCTCCAGCAGCGCCCTTGGGGGGCGGAGGCCGCTCCGGGCTACTCGTCGAGTGGCCCGTTGAGGCCAGCCGTGGCCACCCCCGGGGGGCCTGCTGAGGTCAGCCAGGCCTACCTGGGGGGGCTGCCTGTGCGCAACCCGAAGCCTTAGCAGCTGGCGCAGAGGGCAGGGCGGGGTGGAGGCGCGGGCGCTGGAACTGCCACAGCTGGCCTGCTGTCTCTCGGATGGCAGCCTGGCCCTTGCCATGCCGTCGCCGGCGGTGCTCTCAGTCGAACGGGGGGGGGATCCACGAGCTTGCGGGTCAGGGTCTCTGGTGACCGATCAGTTGCGTGGCGGCGCGGCTTAGATGCGCGAGCTGCTCCGCTCGTTTCAAAACCTGCTTGCACGGCAGGCCCTGGGCCTGGCCTTTCAGTCGGGGCAGCGTCGAGCTAGATAGATGCAGTCGAAACCAGCCTCAAGCGCCTCTGAAGCGAGGCACACCTGCCTCTCTCGGCTCTGTGCATCCCTGGCATGCTTCTCGCCTCCTCGGTCCGATTGGTCCCTCGTTGGTCCTGGCGTTTCTGATCACCTCGGCGTGTTCTTGGTGTCTCGCATCCTTCTCGTGCTCCATCCTCGTGACTGGCTCTGAGCGTGCTGACCTCCTCGTGGGCGCAGAGTGCCGGCCCTGCGTGAGGGCCCGCCGTTTCGGCAGGAGAGCGTGCAGCGTGAGTGCGAGGCCGCGGAGCGCTTGCAGCAGCGCAGGGCGCAACTCTTCCTTCCTGGTCTCCTATCCTCCTCCTCCTCCTCCTCCTCCTCCTCCTCCTCCTCCTCCTCCTCCTCCTCCTCCTCTTCCTCCTCCTCGTTCAGAATTCAGGACTCAGTAGGACAGGCAGTGGGTCAGGCCCCTTGTCTACCAGCTAAGCCCATTACAAGCCCTTCCTCCTCCTCTCCTCCTGCTCCCCTCGTCTCGGGCAGTTCTCTGAGGATGTCGAGCGGAGTCCGCGGCGTCCTGCCGCTGCCCCTTTCCCCTCTCCCTCCCTTTTCCCCTCCTCCTCCTCCTCCTCCTCCTCCTCCTCCTCCTCCTCCTCCCCGGCGTCCTCCTCTTCCTCCTCTTCGTCCTCCTCCTCCTCCTCCTCCTCCGCCCCCCCCCTTCCCCCTCCCTTCCCCTCCTGCCCGAGGCGCTGGTCTCGACCACAGTGACGTCCCCAGTGGCGGCAGGTGCCAGGGGCAACGATGTGGGGGGAGGGGGACTGGCCGAGAGGGAGGTGGGCTCAGGGGGGGATCGATGTTCTATGTTCGAGGTTCGCTTTCTGGACATCTTGGTCATCCTGTGGGGCCATTGCTGGATCCGCCCCGAAGTTCCGGTCAGCACGCATCCCAGGTGAGCCACCGGGGTCGATTTTGGACCCCTGATCAGGGGCAGCGACGGTGGGGGACTGTCCCAGGGGAGGAACCTCGACCTCCAGTCGCCCAGTCATCGCCAGTCGGGGCCGTGGGACCACTCACCCCGCCCAGGGCCGTGCGACTTCGCCATCGGAGGCCTATCGCTGATCCATCGGTGATGTGTCGCCGATTCCAGGTCACTGTCTCCCCACCCGACAGTTCGGGGCTGTGAAAATGAGAGATAAAGAGCTCCCGACCCGTCTCGCACACCCTGCACACCGCGGCCGCCAGGCCCCAAGGGTCCCGGCGCTCTCTGGGCATCCCGCCTCGCGACTTCGACGACTGACGACTGCACACCGCAGCCGCCATTCCCCAGGGGGTCCCGTGATCTCTGGGGATCCCGCCTCGCGTTCTCGGGGTGGACATTGTTCGAGGTGGGGATACTCCGAAGTAAACTGTAATTTCCCCGCTGAGCCAATCCCCCCTTTGGTCTCCCTCCAGGTGACACCGAGCTGCCTGTGGAGTCCACAGCCGGCTTCGTCGTCGGCGCCACCGTCCTGGTCGAGGGCGGAGGCCACCGCGAGACCGGCATCGTGGCCGGCCTCGGCTCGATCGTGCTGGCGGTGGGCCTGGCGCACGGCTACCCTGCCGGGTCCACGGTCAGCCTGCACCCCGCCGACGACTCCACCGTCGCCGCGGCCGGGCTTCCCTTCCGATGGCGACGACGACGACGACGACGACGGCGCAGGTCCCCTCCCTTCGCCCACCAAAATTTCCCCCTCTCTCCTTTTCCTCCCTTCCCTCTGATGGGCCTGTTTTCCACCACCACCATAAGTTGGAGGGGGGAAGGAGGAGGAGGAGGCGGAGGAGGAGGAGGAGGAGGAGGAGGAGGAGGAGGAGGAGAACCCCCTCCCCCTCCAGCTTATGGTGGTGGTGGTGGAAAACAGGCCCATCACCCTCCGCTCCCCCGCCATCCCCCTCCCTCCCCTATCGGTCCCCTCCCTCCTCGTCTGCCCCCCCCGCCCCCTTCCCTCCCCCCGGGCCTCCCCTCCCCCGGCGCTCCCCTCCCCCCCCTCGTGCCTCCTCTCCATGCTTTCCCCGCTGCTCCCCCCCCGTCTCAGGCCCTGCCCCCTCGTCCCCCCCTCCTCCCCCCCCCTCCCCCCCCCTCCCCCCCTCCCTTCCTACCCTCCCCCTCCCGCTCCTCTCCTCCCCCCCCTCCCTTCCTCCCTGCCCCCCCCCACCCCCTCCCCCACTCCACCCGCCACCCCGCCCCCCTCCACCCCCTCCCCTTCCCCCTCCTCCGCCCCTCCCTTCTCCCACCCCATGTGGAGGTTGCTATTTCCTTTCCTTGTGTGCAATCCTTCCGCTGCCGCATCCCCAAGCGTGTCAGTAGTGCGGGCTGGGCGTTTTGCTTGAGACTTCCTCCCCGTTTCTGACCTTCAAGCTTGAACTTTGAACCAGGTTCACGGGTGGAAGGCGGGTGTGTTTCAACATGTTGTTCTCGCACTAGCGCCGCGCACATTCGTCTCAAAGTATACAACAGTATCGAAGACGGAGGGCGGGTGGTGTGTCTCCCGCCGTAGCGTCGTGCACATTTGTTTAAACAGTTTGCAACATGTTCAAGGATGGAGGGCGGGTGGCTTTCAAAACTTGGTTCACGCCATAGCGCCGTGCATATTCCTTTTTAACAGTTTGCAAAAGCTTATACGATGGAGGGTGGATCAGTTTTTCACTGTGGCTCTCGTTTAGCGCCGCGCGCATTTGGTTTGAACGTGTGAAGCTGTTTCAAATATTTGTATGGTGGAAGTCACAGGAATTGTGTTCTGGTGCGTTTAGGATTGTCAGGACGCAGAGGTTCCGTTTACGTACTGGTGGTTTGAAATCACAGGCATGGTGTTTGGGCATGGTTTGGGTGGTGCCAAAACGAAGCAGTTACGTTGATTCACGGCGTTGACGTTCCATGAATTGTGTTTTGGTGCGGTTGAGGATTCTAAGCCGTTTGTCTTCCAATGGGGCGTTTCCCACACTTAACATGAATTTTCGCAGGGACATGCGACGAGGTAATTCGAAGGGAGGGTTTGTTGTAACATCGATGATGCGTCTTTAGTGTTGACACTGGTGCTCCTCCTCCTCGGTCGGTCCGTCGGAAACTGAAGGACTGGGTTGTATTTCGCCGATGCATGTGCTGGAATCAAGAGCAAGTCGACGGGGAGCAGCGGAGCAGCGCAGAAGGGAGCGGGGCCGCGCTGGCCTGTCCGCGCAGGACCTCCTCCTCGTCCTCCTCCTCATCCACCTCACCCTGTCTGCCCCTATCCCCCTCTCCCCGAGACCCCGGCCCCCGCCGCGGCCGACGACGACCTCGACGACACGCTCGAGCCCCACCTCCTCCACGCTGCCATTGCGGGGCTGGTATTCGGGCGGCTGCGAGTCACCGCCGCCGACCTCTGCGCTCTCGTGCTTTCAACCGTCACGCTTTCCCGCTGCGCGGCCTGTTGACAGCAAACACGGACTTGGGACAGCAGAGCACCTCTGGGGACGGGGTCGGGAGTTTTGGGGTCACGGGTGAAATCCTTGACCGTTGGATTTCTGGGCCCACAGGGGCGTTGAGGGCTCCGGCCTCGTCGCCGTCGTCGTCGTCGTCGTCGTTGCCGTCGTCGTCGTCGTCGCCGTCGTCGTCTTCGTCGTCGTCGTCGTCGTTGTCGCCGTCGGTGTCGTCGTCTTCGTCGTCAGGCCATTCAGGCCATCCTCACACGTTTTGCCCAGCGGGCCCCCGCGGTCGTGGTGGCGACTCTCAGGGGCAGCTGCATCTATCGTTGTGGAAGTCGATTAATGGAGAGGAAGCATGCTGCCAAATTCTAGACGCTTCGCGTATCCCCACCAGCCCGTCCAGAAACGACGCCCAGGCGAGTAGAGGGTCGTCCTGAGGGGCTGTTCGGCGTCTTGGGTGCCTCGGGGGGGCCTCTTTGGGCCGTTTGGGATCCTCTTGGGGGCCTCCTGGGGGCCTCTTGGGGCCATCTTGGGGCCATCTTGGGGTCTCTTGGTGCCTCATGGGCGCTTCTTGGGGCCATCTTGGAGGAAATCGATCAAAGAAGAGGGGAGCTTCAATTAGCGCTGCCCCCTCAGAAGGCCAAAATGGTGCCAAAACCTTAGTAAAATCAATGATTCTGGCTTCAAAGAAAAGGGGAGCTTTAATTAGCGCTGCCCCCTCAGAAGGCCAAAATGGGGCCAAAACCTTAGTAAAATCAATGAGTTCAAAGAAGAGGGGAGCTTTAATTAGCCCTGCCCCCTCAGAAGGCCAAAATGGGGCCAAAACCATAGTAAAATCAATGATTTTGGCTTCCTCGCCGAGGCCGTTTTGGACGCTCTGACCGCTCCCCGCCCCTCCTGTCCAGGTCAGTGGGGAGGGGGTAGGGGGAGGGGTAAACCCCTCCCCGAAGGGGAAGAGGGAGGGGTGGAAGAGGAAACGCTCTAAACCACCGACGCCCAGAGGGCTGGTGGGATAATGTCCAGATGTCTAGGAGATGTTTCACATACTTCTTAATTTTGTTAAGCAACATGTTTGAAACCTGTTCAAAACGTGTTTATACATTTTACACAATATTGCATTCAATGGTAGGATTGTTAGAGAGTCCATTGTCATGGCATCCGCAAATCTATCGGTGGAGGGCTGACGATCTTCCCAAAGCGTGCTCTTCCACCGCCGCAATGGACTACTACTGCTTCCACCTCTTCGCCCCCTGCCTCACGCCTGCCTCCTCCTCCTCCTCCACCTGGGCCAGACGAAAGGGGGGCATAGGGAAAGGGGGGATTACGAAATCTGCTGCAGGCAGCTGGTTTCGGCCCCGCCGCCGGGCACATTCCTCGATACATGGGCGCCGGGAGGCGCCAGGAGGCGCCAGGAACATCAGCTACGTGAGCTGATTCTCAAACCCCCCCTTTGCTATCCCCCCTTTTCGCCCGGCCTGATCCACCTCCTCTTCACCAATCAAAACAGTGATTCCCCTGTGGCAGCTCACGTGGTAGATCGAGTTGTGCCTGGCTCCGCGGCGGCAGGTGCTTGGCGAGGCGGTGAGCAGCCCGATCTGCGCCGAGCAAGCAGGTCTCCCAGGAGATGGGCCGGCGACGCTCATGCTCGAGATGATTATTGTGGCGCCGCTGGACAAGCTGCGGGAGGCCTCGCCCACGGTGTCAGTTTCTAACCTCGTGGTCGACATCATCCTGAGGAGAACAGCGGGACTTGCGCACGGTGCGCGAAGTTTCCGATGCTGCCTACAGAGTGATGACGTTGGACGACTACGACTAGCGGGTGTCGCCCAAGAGGTTGCGAGTCCTGGCCAATCCCAGCAGCCAGGGCAGAGCTGTCCCAGAGGCTCGGGAGGCCGCCGGGGGCGACTGGAGCATCGCAGGAGAGGAACTTCGGCGACGACTTCAGCGGGGGCAAGTGGGTAGGGCGCGCGGTTCGAGTTGATCGATTCCGGTAAGCCCACCAACGGTTTCGGCGGGCGCGAGTCATAAGGACGGGCAAGAACAAGACGCAGGCGGCTCGGCGCGTGGCCAAGGCATGGCTTGAGAAAACGGCGTGGCCAACGTCGCAGGAGTCTCCGATGCTGCCCGAGGAGAGCTGGACATGGCGAGGGGCATCGCCTTCATCGCCACCTCGCCCAGCACGGCGGGTCGGGCACGCACCCTCGCGCTGATGCTGTAGGCAGGCAGCGACCCCCCATCGGCGGCACGGTCGCGCCCGCAGTGGTGCTCTTGCACGCGGTGTGGGATGGGCGGGTCCTTCGGCACATGATCGGCTTCTGCCTGACCGCAGGCAGAGCGGCAACATGGGCCCACGTGCATGGGCCCACGCCGTCGGTGGTCGTCACGCTGCCGCGCATGGGCTGGGACACAATTGCCGCAGACCGTCGGAACCATGATGGTGCAGAGGTGCGGCCCGTTCGATACCCCGCCGTGGATGATCAAGAAGCTGCTTCTGCGCGGCGTCGACCGCCGGCAGCGGAGCGGCAGGTCGCAGCCGCCCCAGGCGGTGAGCATCTGGCGCGAGGAGGGGTTCTGGAGCCTTTGGTGCGCCTCGCGACGGGCTTGGCCGACAGCGTCTACGCCTCGAGAGAAGCGGCCCAAGGGGCGCGCAGGAGGGTTCGGCTCGCGCAAGAGGAGCGCGGGCACGTCGGGTCGCCGGTGGCCAACGGCTAGCGGTCGCAGGCGAGCAGGGCGGACAAGGGCATGGCCGTCTCCGCTGTCTGCTCCCCCGGCACCCAGTGCGGCACGTTGCTTCACAAGCTTTGCGGCTGCGATAGCTGGAAGGGCGCCCGGCATGCGCCGGCCGCCGCGCGGAGGCTGCGCGAGCAAGTGGGCCTCGCCGAGGTGGAACTGCTGCTGGAGAGGCGCCCGCGGCTCGCGCGGGCGTGGCTCGCCGAGCCCGCCCGAGTCGAGGGGGCGTGCTGGCACGTGCTTCGCGACGGGGTCGTCCCGTCGGGCGAGGTGTTTCTGGACGGCTCCGCCTCCGATGCGACCTTCGACGGCTGCATCTCGGCGGGGCGGGGCGCCGTTGCTCTGCGGCCAGCAGCAGATGCTTAAGCATGATGATTGTCTCCGGCCAGATGTGCCACTCGTGTGTCGACATCGAGCCCATGGCCTTCATCGGGGCGATGAGCTCCGGCGTGGCCCCGATCGTCGTTGTGGTCAATTCGAGGTGCGTTTTCAATGGCGCGGTGAATGTTGGCCGCTCCATCGCCACCAGCTACTTCCTCACGTCGGCCCACTTTTGGAGATTGGCTTGGGGCCTCATCAACTACGCGGGAGGAGTCGGCCAGCTGAGAGTCCGCGATCCGTGGGCACGGGCGCACCGCGCCTGGTGGCAGGTGCAGGACGGGGCCATGAGCAACAGGGGTTGGCTGGGCCACAAGTATGCTCACGCGGCGGCCAGGTCCGCCGCCGGCCGCGGGCGGATCCCAGCCACCGGTCGTGCCAAGCTGAAAGACGGAGCGCGGCCTGGTGGACGGCGTCGCAACCAGACACAGCGCGGTCGGCAGCTACATAAGTCAACGGCAGCGTCGCCAACCACAGGAAGGCGCGGCCGCAGCGAGCGGGCGAGCGGCCGCGCAAGGACGCTGGCGAGGAGGCGGCGCGGCGGGCGCGCGAGGTACGCGGCCCGCCTGGCCAGCAGTGGCGCAGCCATTGCCGATGGATGCGGCGTGTTTGGGAGTGTCCAGGCAGCGTCGGGCGCGCAGCGATCGCCGCCAACAGCTTCCTGCGACGGCGCGGCGTCGGTCACCGCCGCCCACCGCAGATCCAGTCCCAGCTTGACGGCCAGCATGTGCGACTCCTACCTGTGGTGGCACGCTTGAAGTGCGGCTTCACTGGCGCGGCGCTGGCCTCCAGTTTCGCCAGGGAGCGCGGTACGCCTTCGGCGGCGGGGCTCGTTGTCCTGGCCAGGCTCGGCGACGCAGCCGTGGAGGGCGTCGAGGACGGCGGGGCGGACAACAGCCAAACTCCGTTTCCTGCGGGCGGTGGCGGTGGCGATGGCAGCGAAAGGATGGGCAGCAGGTCGCCCGGCCTGTAGCGAGGCGTGGGGGAGGAACCGCTGGCGTGGTGCCCCCCAGGGGCGGGCGCCGCGGTTGGCCAGGCCAGCGTGCAGCGGCGAGAAGGCCGAGGCCGCGATGACGTGGAAGGTGGTCTACCTCTTCGCCGCGCGCCACCGCGGACGCGCGACGGCGGCCGCGAACGTAGAAGCGGGGCGCAAACCCGTCTGAGGTGGCCCCCACGGGGCCAGCCACCTCGGCCAGGCTGGTGGGCTCGCCTCGAGGGGCCTGCGGCCGCTCCGTGTCCTGGGTTCGGGGTGCCGCCTGGCCGGGGCCCGAGCGGGGATGGCTGTCTGCGTCGCAGGTGCCAAGCGGGGTGCAGTCCCGTGATCGTCCAGGGGGTCGGGGTCCTCGTGTCGCCGGGTCGCCGTGCGGTGCGCTGCTGAGGAGAGCGGGCGGTCCGACGGCCCGCGCGTCCGATCGTGCCGATGCTCCTCGCCGGCGTCTGTGTAGACTTGGCTTGAGCAAAAACTCCCTTCGCCTTCCCCGTTCCTCCTCCCTGCCTCCCTCCTTCCTCCTCTCCCCCTCGGCCTCGTCATTCTTTTCCTTTCTCCACGGGTGCGGACGAGGAGGAGGATGAGGAGGAGGAGGATGAGGAGGAGGGCGAGGAGGAAGAGGAGGAGGGCGAGGAGGAGGAGGAGGAGGAGGAGGAGGAGGATGAGGAGGAATACGAGGGGCGGACGGGAGGAGGAGCATGGAGGAACATGGGGCCGGAGGGGCGGGGAGGAGGAGAGGAGTGAGGAGAGGGGCGAGCTAATTGCCCTCGCGCCCCATCCGACTTAATGCCCCTCCCGCCCTCCCCCTCCCACTGCGCCTGCTCGACATGTCAGATCAAGACATGTCAGATCAAGCGCGGACCATTTGCAAAGTGGGAGACCATTCCAAGAACCACTTTACGCGTTGCCACGACACGCTGAGTTGATCGGTTGGTGTTCAGACTAAACGCTTACAACGGTCGCGAAGAAATTGCCTGTGGCATGGTTCCCTGACTGTCTTGACGCGGAGATGCTTTGCGCGAGCCATCAACACACCGCCTTGCCAAGGGACTTTGTGCTTCTTCGCAAGCAACCGCTGAGCATGAACCTCCTGTTATGACCCAAGAAGCTTCGGCGATGTTTAGGATTGTGGGTTGCTTGTGATGGTCGAAAGACAAGCATGAGTCGAAATTCTCGATGGGTCGATGCTGGACCTCCCTGGCGGCCCCTCTTGCGCCTTCGCGCGCAAGGGAAAGGGGTCCAGCGCCGATCCAAGAACTGCCCGCGGGCCACCAACGGTTACAATGTTTGCGGCATTCGTTGTTCCCTGACGTATGGCACTTGCCCTGGCCCGACATCTTGTCGGCGCGGCTCGCGTCGGCCGTCTCCCCTGTCGGCCCCGCTCCGCGAGGCTGGGGGGGCGGACTTTGGGGGAGGGGGCGGAGGGTCGAGGAGGGACATCGAGGAGGCTCGAGGTAGGAGGAGGATCGGGTAGGGTTTTTGGGAAGGGGGAAGCAGGAGAGGGAGGAGGAGCAGGAGGGGGAGGAGGAAGGAAGAGGACGAGCAGGAGGAGGAGGAGGGAGGAGGGAGGAGGGAGGAGGGAGGAGGAGCAGGAGAAGCAGGATGAAGAGGAGGAGGGAGGAGGACGAGGAGGAGGAGGAGAAAGAGGATGAGGAGGAGAAAGAGGAGGCGGAGGAGGGATGAGGATGAGGCTTAGGATGAGGATGAGGATGCTGTTGATGATGATGATGATGATGATGATGATGATGATGATGATGATGATGATGATGATGATGATGATGATTGTGATTATGATTATGATTATGAGTATGATGATTCTGATGGTGGTGGTAGTGGATGTGCTGGTGTTGATGGTGGTGGTGGTGATGACGATGATGCTGCTTTTGATGATGATGACGATGATGATGATGACGATGATGCTGATTTCGTCGATGGCGGCGAAGAAGACGACGGCGGTAATGGTGATGGTGATGCTGATGGTGGTGATGATGATGATGATGACGATACTGCTGATGATGATGCTGATGATGATGCTGGGGATGATGATGATGATGCTGATGATGATGATGATGATGATGATGATGATGTTGATTTTTATGGTGGTGGTGGTTGTGATGATTGTGATGAGGTTGATCATGATGGTGACGCCTTTTTTTGTTGTGGATGATGGTCATACTGATACTGCCGATGAGGATGCTGGTGCTGATGACGGTGATGCTGGTGATGAGTATGTTGATGAGTATGATATTGAGGCTGTTGATGCTGATGCCCTTGGTGATGCTCATGTTGTGGTTGCAGTTGTTGAAGGTGAGTACGATGATGCTGCTGATGTTGATGATTCTGATGTTTAGGATGCTGATGATGATGGTGCTGCTGCTGATGAGGATTATATTGATCATGGTGCTGAGGATGATCATGGTGCTGAGGATGATGCTGCTGATGATGATGATCATGTTGCTCATGCTGCTTCTGACGATGATGAGCACGCGGATGCTGGTGGTGGTGATGATGAAGTTCACCATGATAAGTATGATGATGAGGCTGCTGATGCTGATTATATTGTTGATGTTCATGTTGTAGTTGTTGCTGCTGATGATGGCGATTCTGATGATGCTGATGATGATGCTTGGAATGCTGATGAGGATGCTGCTCCTGCTGCTGATGAATATGAATATGATGACGCCGATTATGACCATGATGCTGATGTTGATGATGCTGATGATAATGCTACTGCTACTCGTGATAATGACGATGTTGCGGATGCGGATGCGGACGATGATGCTGATTATGTTGGTGGTGATGATGATGCTGAGGATGAGGGAATGATGCTGCTGATGATGATGATGATGATGATGCTGATGATGATGATGATGACTCAGACGAGGGCGGTGGCGATGATGCTGATGATGCTCTTGATCCTGATGTTGCTGATGCTGATGAGTATGATGCTGATGATGGTGACGACGAGTAGTATGATGATGAAGCTATTGACGATGCTGATGATGATGATGATGATGATGATGATGATGATGGTGCTGATGAGTATGACTATGAAGTATGAGTGTGATGATGATGATCATGATCATGATGATGTTGGTGGCGGTGATGATGATGATGCTGATGATGATGATGCTGGTAATGATGATGCTGATGAGGATGATGCGGATGCTGATGATGGTGGTGGTGATGATGATGCTGCTTGGGCGGCTGATGGTGATGATGCTGATGAAGATGATGACGAAAATGCTGATGCTGATGATGATGCTGGTGATCATGCTGATGACGACGATGACGATGATGATAAGGATGAGGATGAGGATGAGGATGAGGATAAGGGTGAGGATGATGCTGATGATGCTTATGATGATGCTGATGATGATGATGACGACGATGATGATGATGATGATGATGATGATGATGATGATTGATGATGACGATGATGATGATGATGATGATGACGATGATGCTGATGATGATGATGAATATGATGATGATGATGATGATGATGATGATGATGATGATGATGATGATGATGATGATGATGGTGGTGGTGATGATGATGATGATGCTGATGATGATGATGATGATGATGATGATGATGATGATGATGATGATGATGGTGATGGTGGTTGTGGTGATGATGGTTGTGGTGGTGGTGTCGGCTTGGACATCGTGGTGATGGTGATGATAATGATGCTGATGATGCTGATGATGATGATGATGCTGATGTTGATGATAATGCTGCTGATGCTGATGCTGATGCTGATGCTGATGAGGATGATGCTGCTGCTGATGATGATGCTGATGATGACGATGACGATGACGATGAGGATGATGCTGAGGAGGAGGAGGAGGAGGCGAAGGAGGAGGAGGAGGAGAAGAAGAAGCCGCGGAAATTGAGAGATGAGGTGGAGGAGGGATGGGGAGGAGGTGGAGGAGGTGGAAGTGGTGGAGGAGGAGGAGGAGGTGAGGAAGGACGAGATGAGGGTGGCAGTGTCAGTTGAAGGGGGGAGGGAGAGGGGATGGATGGACAGGGGCCAGCGAAGGAGAAGGAGGAGGCGGAGGAGGATGAGGAGGATGTTGAAGGAGGGGAGGAGGAGGAGGAGGAGGAGGAGGGAGGTATGAATGGGGGGGCAAAGAGGAGGAGGAAGGAGAGGCAGGAGGAGGAGAGGAGGAGGTATGAGGAGGAGGAGAATTGAGGAGGAAGAGGAGGAGGAGCAGGAGGAGGAGGAGGGAGGAAGAGGTGGGGGGGATGGGGAAGAGTAAGACGGAAACAGGAGAAGGTGGACGGGGAGGAGGAGGAGGAGGAGGAGGAGGAGGAGGAGGAGGAGGAGGAGGAGGAGGAGGACGAGGAGGAGGAGGAGGAGGAGAAGGAGGAGGCGGAAGAGGATGATGAGGAGGAGGAGGAACTCGGAACTCGGGTGAGGGCATCATTGCCGGGGGTGTGCACTACGCTGAAGACGTCATGAAGAACAAAAGAGCCCATGTGGAGTGGGCTGAGAGACACTGTGCAAACTGTCAAACAAGTTGAGCTCGGCAATGGAAGCTCTGCTCGAGGACTCCTGACGTCCTCGCCTTGAGGAGAGGGGTGCCCCGTACACACGCTGCAGCTGCTGCACTGCTGCTGAACTCTCCCTTGCGTCTCCCTCCTCCTCCAACTCCTCCTCCTCCTCCTCCTCCTCCTCCTCCTCCTCCTTTCCGTTCTCCTCCTCTCTCCTTTGCGCTTCCCTCCACCTCCTCCTCCTCCTCCTCCTCCTCCTGCCTCCTCCTCCTCCTCTGTTCTCCTCCTCTCCTCCTCCCTCGCTCCTCCTTCCTCCTCCTCCTCCTCCTCCCTCCTTTGCGCCTCCCCCCCTCCTCCTCCTCCTCCTCCTCCCTCCTTGCGCCTCCCTCCTTGCGCCTCCCTCCTCCTCCTCCTCCTCCTCCTCCTCCTCCTCCTCCTCCTCCTCCTTCTCTTCCTCCTCCCCCTCCTCTTGCTGGCCATCGGAGCGGCCTCGAGGTTGCCGTAGATCACGGCAGACGGGCGGAGAGGCCACGCGGGAGCGCGGCACGGGGCGACGGCCAGAGCCACCCGCACAGACGCACGTGACACAGGAAGCGGCCAAGGAAGGCACCAAGGAGGAGGAGGAGGAGGAGGAGGAGGAGGAGGAGGAGGAGGCCGAGGCGGAGGCGGTGGAGGAGGAGGAG